GTTGACTTTGTTCGTGAGTTGTAGTGGCTATTCTTGGACATCCCTGTGTGCCAAAGAGCACAATCAGGAGCCTCTGAATTCTTTCTGATGCAGCAAAGATCTTGGAAACTTGAGCAGCCTCACTGACAACCCACAGGACCGTGGAAAAATCGAGAGTCAGACCACAACAGAAGCAAGTGTGCAAAATTCAATGCGATGTCCAAGGCCAACACGTGGCTTTCCATGGATGACTTCACAACTGTTCTCTAAAACGCGTTTCCATGGATGACTTCACAACTCTGTTCTCAAAAGCCCGGCTTTCCATGGATGACTTCACAACTCGCCGCTCTCTCTCTCTCTCTTTCTCTCTCTCTCTGAGGTGCAAAGACTCGCGCTCACCACTCGGCTCTAAGGTGCAAAGACTCGGATTCACCATTCGGCTTTCACTCTTCAGCTTCTGGCTCCGTTGTCTCACCATGTCCCAAGTTCCTGTTGTGATGCGACGTCTCACCGAATCAATTCTGATATCATCTTCATGGATTGGCTCTCGAATTGTTCTGGTGACTGATTCTCTGGTCTGCAGTGATTCTTTCTTCCATGCTCTCGATTTCCACGGCAATCAACAACCTGTGGGTTGTGTTGAAAGTGAAGCCAGCCAAAAACAGGAAGATTTCTCAACCTTTTGCTGATTTTCCTGAGCTTGGAGACGCCAAGATTTTCTTTGTAAGCCGTTTTCCAAGCCAAGTTCGTACAAACCCTGCAACAACCTGTGGGTTATCAGTGAGAGTGAAACTTCCAAGATCTTTGCTGCATTGGAAAGAACTCAGAGGCTCCTGATTGTGCTCTTTGGCACACAGGGATATGTCCAAGAACAGCTGCTACACTCACGAACAAAGGCAATTCTTGCTTGTTCATGAGTGCTTCACTGCGGCCACCTTGGTTGACTTAGTTTCGACTGTTTGCTCACATCTCAGCGGAATTCGGTATTTCTTTTGATACCTGACATTTTGTTGAGTTGTGGAGAACTTTGTGGCTGGGGTGACAGCCTACGATGCTACTGGACACAACGAAGCAATGTACGTGCAACAGCTGAACCACGTACAAGTTGAAAATTCGATGGCTTGGCATGTTGACGCTAGAATGAGTGGACACTTCGAACCGTGAGGGCTGTGGGTCCAAAAGGTCTCTGCCGTTTGACAGTTAAAGAAGAGTTTTCTTAGTTTTTGGACTGTGTAGCTCAAGAGTTAGAGACTTGTGACTTGTTTTGGCTGCGTGAATGCTTTGTTGAAAGCCTCAATGCTGGGCTTTTGGCTCAAGGGCAGGTTCCCGTTGTCGACCGCTTTTGTGACTCAAGGTGGGTGTGTGCATGCTTCCCACTGAGAGGTGGAAAACGTGGTTTGTTTTGCATTGTTGGGTTCGATGTTTTTGCAGTGCGCCTGCCAAACTGAATTTGAAGGACAGCAGTTGTCCTTGGAGCCTGTTGTGGCATTGCTCAAGACTTACAGCCTCATTGGACATGCAATTGTTCGCAACCCAGCACGTTTTCGTTTTTTTCATTTGGATTATTTGATGTGGCTGTATCTTTGGAAACTGCTCTTGGTTTTGAGTTGGGGGCTCCAATTCGTGTTGAATAATCACGACAACAGCGCAGCTAGTTGGTCGCGCTTGTTTTGTTTTCTTTTGTCCTGGAAAAGTCAATGAGTGCGATTTGTCAGGTGTGGTTGATACCCCTCTGTTTCATTGTCTCACTTGTTTACGGAACTTCTGTGCCTGGAACATTTTCTGCATGTGTTTGAGTGGGCTTGGAACGCAATCTAATTAGTTGCACCTTTGCCCGTTGCTCAGCTTTCGGTCCAGAGGAATCACGTAAGCGAACTCAGCACGAATTCAACGAAGGTGATGTTAACAATCTGGGTGTGCTGAACACTGGGGATTCAAATAGAGATTGCTTTTGTTGGCACTTTTCCTTGATTCCTCATTGTCTCATTTGTTTCTGTGATTGTATCTCGTAAGAATTACAATTGGTTAATTGGTTTTCGCGACCTGAAGCTTTACTGGTCAACCCGAGAAACCGCGTAGGACCGGGCAAATCAAGAAGAGTTACACTACCCAACGTAGCACTTGTCAAAGTGCTATTGAGTCAGATGAGACCATGAGCAGCTACTGCATCAGGGGTTATATATAATCAAATTAATTTTGCAAAGGGTACACAATGGAACCGCGTGCAGGCTTGGAAGCGAGTGAACTGAGTGACCACGTGCAATTATAGTGAAAGTGGCTAGTTGCTCATTCGATAACCCATTTGATCGTTTTGCAGAAGAACTTTGGCGCGTCTGTGCAGGTGCACATGTCTTCGTGCAGAACCAGAGGCCACACAATTATTTTTTTGTCAGTTTGGAGAGCGTGAGATGAAATGGCGCTTGAACTTGTAGCACATGACCTTGAGGTCTTTGGTCTTTCGGTCGCCCTTGAACCATGTGATACTGTGAACACAAAAAGAATTCAAATATCTTCTGTGTCACGCCATTCCAGGGAGCAGGGATCATGCTGGAAATTTACAGTGTTTGTTCAAACAACGATTCAACTTCAAAGAGCCAACCAGGCTCGATTACCAAATGTGGCGAGAAGGCTGCGCGCTGCACAACAAAAGAGCAAAGAATGCCAACGAACTCTAGGTCTGGTTTGGTTTACAGAGGCTCGGAGGCTCGGAGGTGGTATTGCTTTCTAGGTTCGGAACGGTGTCACCAAGCAAAGTCCACATCAACAGCCTGGAAGGATGTCGGGGTGGCAGAGCAAAGAGGAATCAGGAAAGAAATCAAAAAAGGATAATGTATATAAAGGAAGACAGGGAAGAAGGATAACAGCAAAGGTCAAAGGGCCAAGAAAGAGGCAGGAACTATTTATTAACCAACTAAAAACTATTTTTTTAAAAAGATTTACATTTTCCTTTTCCACATATATCATATGCTGCTCAATACGCAGACTTACTGCCCCACACACCCGGCCAAACTCAATTGTCTATGCGTCGTCGCATAGAAACGTACCACTTCACCAACTTGTCGAAACATGCAACTTGATCACCAGTAGTTTGGATGTTCTTTTTTGTTGGAGCGCAGTTTTTTGTTTTGTTTGTGTGATCTACACCGAAGGCCGAAGGTTTTGTTTGTTGATTTTTCTTTGTGTTATATTAATATATTTCACACAATTAGTATTGTGTGTTGTTTTCTTCTTGATCACTCAATCTCTAGCAAGCAGATGGATAACTATATTATATGTATCGATCTCAGATTCGATAATCTATGATTTGAACTTTTGATAGGAGTCAGATCCTGGATCACACAAGCCCAGGGCTCGAGGCATGATCTACTAGCAAGTAGTGCCATGATGAAAAGGCTTACTTGTGCACATGCGACCTTTGGGCGTGTTAAGGCTCAGGGTAAAACCCTTTTGCAATCTTTGTTTGATGACCCAGAGAATGAAGAAGCGATCCTTGCTCCTGACTCTAAGCATATGGTATATATATATAGCAAAATCGTAGCCCACCTTGAACTGCAAAGTGGCAGCAGTTTGCAATTTACTCAGTCACAGTTTCCATTGGTACATTCATACACCTTACACCGTCCGATAATGTGAAGGATGACCTACGAAGGTGTTGCTGAAAAGAAACTCTTCATTAGTCAATGCAAGCCTCCTTGTCTCAGGAGCAGATTCCAGGCGTGGGGATTTTGGAACTTGAACTGCTGGAGATTCCACTTGCGAACTGCGCAGGGTTCCTGTGGGCAAGGACATGCGTGCATGCCTTACTCCGCTTCAAAGACTGATTACTTTGATGTTTTCAATGTCCACTTTGCAGGAACCTTTTTCGGAAGCAAATGACCCAAATCCACATTCTTCACAACCTAAGAATCCTTGGACCCTCCATAGCACCTGTGTTGTTGAACTTTGAAAGGTATTGGCCATTCTGAGGCAGCTTGGTCAGCGAGCTAGAAGATTAAGAGGACACGGCGCAATCATTTAATCTAGTCTGAAAGATGAGAATCATCTAATCTACTTGGAGGAGGCGCTGAGCAATTCTTGAATGCTTGTCGTTGATAGATAATTGCAGTGGATGTTTGAAGGACCAAGCAGGCTTTCAACCAGGAGATTAAAGTGAACAATTCAAGTACAACTTGGCAATGTAAGGGTCAATGTTCATGCGTTCGTGAGAGGACCATCGAGCCTAGCATGCAAACTCCTGAGAAAGCAGAGGCTGGGAGTAATTCGATTTGTTTCTTGGTTCTGTTGTGGTGCGTACGTGAGTTGGGGCAGCTGGGCGGGCGAGTGTACAGCTCATTGGATGCGCAGCGATCACACGTGGTCCGGACCAACAAAGACAGGATGTGCGTGGCTTTCAGTATACTTCTTGCCATTGTGTTCAAGCCCACTACGCTTAAGCCGCTTGAAGCTTTGCAGTCAGCTTTGCCACCAGCATTGCTCATTGCTTTAAAGCCCTTTTGATCAAAAGTGACTGCCCTCCCACTTCAAAACAATTTCCAAGAGTGAGCATGCTGGGCAAGTGTGCCGGGCATGCGGTTTGGCAAAAGTCATACATCTTACTGTACTTGCCCTTTCATGACAGGCTAGGTGCATCGCTAGTGCCTCGCTTTGTGTTGCTCAGCTTGGCGAAATCACGTCTCAGACGTCGCTGTGCCATGGAGTTTTGCCATCTCTCTAAGATCTGTAAGGGAGTTTCCTTTGTATGACGCTTGTATGACGCTTGCAAGCGAGGTTGGGATTTCTGATGCAAATGTCAAAAGCCTTTGGCTCTGGTGGTGCAATATATACTGTAATGATAATGTCTTGACGAGGCTGATAAAGTGGCGTAGGATGGGATTGGGGACAGGATTGTGGATGCGGGATAGGATGGGATTGGGGACAGGATTGTGGATGCGGGATAGGATGGGTTACACCGAACATAAAAGTTGCACAAACTTCTGTTTTATTGCGCCCCCCCCGCAAGTCAGTTTCTGAGAAAGCCCAGTGAATTTGTATCCTGCTTGTATTTTGCAACTTCCAAATTATTGTTTCTTTTGGCATTTCCATGCATGGGCCTTCACCTGTTTGTTGCCAAATCTTCAGTGCAGCGCACCATTGAAATCTTCGCTGCAGCATTGGGATTCCTAAACAAAGAATCTTCATTGCAGCTGGTTGTAGGACAGAGCTCTGACCAGGAATTGTAGGCATCGCCCAAGCATTGTTTGGCAGCGTCCATCGGGCATCCCATCCATTTTCACCTATGGCAGTTTGTTTGAGTTTCATGTCTTGGTGTAGAGGGATGTATATAGAGGATCGGGGGACTGGATGGAGAAGGAAGACGGAGAAAGACGAGGGGACAAGACACATACTGTAGAGGATTCGAATGGAGGGTTGCTAAGACGTGATGGATTTGACAGGGATAGGTGCCCAAGCGGCAAGGTTTCTTGGTACTCTTCTGGGAGACACTTGCATCGAGAGCAGCTAGTGTGAAAAGAGATTGCACCTTTTGTTCGCTGCGCACTTTCGCCATACCCCCTTCATGAAGGTGTGCCACAGGCAAGTTGGAAGACTGCCGGTGGAATTGTTTTTGGCCGTCGCTGTGTTGCGCAGTTTGACATGTTTTTGGACATGTTTGTGCCGCTTTGCTGCTGATAAGTTGACCGATCGCTCGCAGGCGTCCTTTTGGTCGTCGGGTGGCTCTTGTCACGTTGAAATTTGTCAGGGTGTGGTTTGGCGAAGTACGTGTTGAACGTGGCAGCGTCACATTGGTTAGTTGATCTTGTGGCACAGTCTGAATACTGCTGAGCTTGTTGATTCAACTGCTCTGTGACCTGAAGAAAGCTGGCGTGGCATAGTGTCGGGTCGCAGCAGTAATCCCGGTTGACCGAAATCTGGTTGATGCGCCATTTTGGTGCAGATAGTTGAGGTTCCAGGAACTTTCTCAAGGTGCCAGCGGATGCAATTTGGAGGTCCTCAGAGCTGAAGTCCGTTGGCATGACTGTATGGAGGAGGAAGATCACTGAGTCCTTCCGGCGATTCTAGCCTTAAACTTTCTGTGCGAGTTGTATATATATTTGGCCGATAGGCCGTAACTTCCGTCGGCTGGTGTTGGCACCAGTGCTCCAATTGCTCGCACCCATTTGCTTCTATGCCGCCACTCTGGAATTGTCAACAAACCTTGCCGCCCCTCTTTGCCACGCCCGCTGACACCCCTCTTGCCGGCCAAATGTTTGATACGGAAACTAAGAGATTACTGTAAATGTTGGTTTTACCAGCGGTCTCTTCCTTGCAGCCTCCATGCATAGATGGGGCCTCCACAAGTCCACCTTTCATAGCTCATCGAGGTGGGCGAGAGTTGAGCTGTTTGGAGGTAGGCGGCAGATCGGATATATCATTAGGCCAATCTAGAGCTTTTCAAGCTTTGTGTGGTGTGGCCTATTCTTTTCTTGGTCAAGCTATGTTGTGCAAGAGAAGCTGCTCAAGATTTGTGAAGCGGTCGTCTACGCCTGCAATCTTCTTTAAATCTGGCTTTGGCTGTCGCAACAGATGATGTCATTATTTTGGCAACCAGACTATGTACATCGTCAGAGGCTGCTGCAAAGTTGGTCGAGGTGATGTGGGAACAGAATGTTCTGCGCACTGCAAAAGACTCAAACAACAGGCTGAATGTAGATCTTGAAGTGGGAAAAGGGCTGGGGGTGCCACCTGCTCGCACTCTGGCCATGGTTGCTTTCCTTCACACTTCGCAAGCAGTCCGCAAAGGTGGTCCATGGGGTCTTGACCACGTTGCAATGAGACTTGCTTATGCGAGCTGAGGCTTTTCTTCGTGTTTGTGCCTCAGATTCTAGCACCGAGTTTCAAATAGAGGAGGTGAAGCACTTGGCCCGGCTAGCTGCCAAGCAGGGCTAGATTGTGGTTCTGGAAGAAAACTTCATCCCCACAAGTTGAATCTTGCAGGGGAGGTATAAAGCTCAGGACAGGATCGAGCATAGCCTATCCTGCACAGACATTGAACCGAAAGGATATCAAGTATTTGCATCGGGAGGGTAGAGATTATGGTGTGTGTTTAGACTTTAGACAGAAAGGCGGATAGTGCTAGGAGGGTGAGGCAAAGACCAGAAGGGCGAACAAGATAAACGAGCATCAAAATGAGACTCGGAACTCTTTGTCGCTGCAGGTGTTGCTCCTTTTCCAACAGGATCCTTTGACATGACAAGGTGTATTCGGATCCATGGCTTTTTGGATGAATAGGTCCAAGGATGTGGTATGAGTCACATGCCTCTCCTGCTTTGGCTTGTCTCGTTTGACTCTTGTTCTGATTTTTGCACTTGTTCAGTGAGCAGGGTTCAAGATGACACTACTCTAATGGAGCGTATCTTTGCGTCAAAGAGGAAACAATCCAATGGCCATGCGTGTGCGTGAGGGCTGTACTCAAAGAACTGTGGAACTTGGAAAGTCTTTTTTCACCCTGCTTGGGGTAATGAATAGACTGAACAAGGCACGGGCGGTTCTGGTCGGACACCTCGCGTGGACTTGGAGTGTGAAGTCTCTGCGTGCTGTTGTATGGTTGGGCCAATACGGTATCATTCTGCCCTTTCAGAATATTTCCTGGTGAGGGTAGAAAGTATCCATGTGCCTGCTGACATTGCCCAACTTTACTTCCTGTTGGTGACATTGTGTTACCGCTTACCACGCTGCAGCAATCTCAGCCCAGTTTGTGCGATCGTCAATCCTATTTCAGATGTACAGCCTTTTGCATTTTGTTGGTTGACCCTCAATTGTGCTTCAGGCTCACCATGCCACTGCTACGACGCCTCCAAAAGGCACGTGGCGCCCAGCCTTGGCATTTGCCTTTTCCAAATTGGATTTCAGCATTGCTGCCTCGATACTACCCCTATTTGACGTGCTCGCTCCCACAGCTTCACCATACAGGAATTTCTTCTTCTCGGCGGCGCCCCAACAGCGGCTACATCCGAGAGACTGAGACCTGGGCACGCTGCAAATTCGTCGGGGACTGAGAGGCGCGGTTTCATGAGCCAGCCGCTCAGCCTGACTGCGAAGGAATGGCCGGACAGTCCAAAACTTCTGAGCCTCGATGGTCAGGCTTCAGGGTTTGTTCCCAACTGCACACGTGTGCAATATTTGGGTTTGGAGACACGTGGCAGGCTGAACCTGCTGTGGCGGCACATGCCAGAAGCAACGATTCTGAGAGGAGCAATGGCAACACCTTTTTCCGAGTCAAATCACAGTGTAGAGCAAGGTACTGTATATACTTGGGTGATCTTGACTGTAAAGGTTGTCAAAGCCCAGCAACTTCCAGCTGCAAAGGACACTTGTGAAGCAGTCAGCGCATGGGTATGCTGCAAGGCAGTTTGTTCGGGTCAGTTTGTCCACGATGTGCCATGCAAACTAAAGCATGGACAGGCAGAGCTCCACTTTCAATGGCTTGAAGGACTTGGATGCATTGAATTGAACAGTTTCTTTCTTGTATGCTGGTGGGGACGATGAAGCAGAGCATCCTAGGAGAGGCTTCGCGAATTTTCGATTTTGTCTCCGCATCATGGTGCTTGTGACTCAGTTGGTGCCATTTCAGTCACTTGCATCCAGCACCGGCCGAGTAATTATATATGAAGTTCAAGTTCCACGAAGGCAGCTGCGGCATCCTATTCTTGGGAGGAGCCCACAATATCAGGGCAGATTTAGTCAAAGTGCTTCAAGATTACTTGCATTTAAGCACCAATTTGCATTTTAGTATGTCGTTGCTTCACATCATGTTTTTTGTATTTGTTTGAAGAGCCAATCTCCGTTTCTTTGGGTCCTGCTGGCCAAAGATGGAGGACTTGCCACTGCAGCTGCAGAATGCTTTGGGCTTCTTGCAAAAGCTGCCGGCATTTCCCCAAACAAGCCTCAGCCATGCAAGGCCAGGTCAAATGTGATGCATAGTTGAGCCCACGGTCTGTTCAGCCTCGTGCACTTTTTGGAAGGCCTTTCCTGCCACCTTCAATGAAGCCAACACTTGTTTTGGATCTGGATGAAACCTTGGTGGGCACGCCAGATTGCCAGCCATCTAGCCTTCGTTTTTTTGTGGAGCAAGCCAGACGTGCAAGCAAAACTCTGCCAATATCGGTAGTCAGATCGCTGCCGTCGTGAACATTGAGTCAACAACATTCAGTCCTGAACATTGGTCTGTCAGGTTCATTGCTGCCGTGGTGAAGCTCGAATCACTGCCGTGCCTGATGTGGTTGTTGAGGCTGCATTATGTGCAGACTATTCCTGCAGCTTCGCGGAATTTTCCGCCCACACTGGAGGGGTTTAAGTGGACAGTATGTTTGCTATGTCGTCTGGGCATTCATCCTTCACCTAAAAAGCTGTTGGACTCTTCTATTTTGGGACTTATGGTGCCAGTGAAGTTATAGCGACGACTTGTAGCAGTAGTACGACTTAGACTTGTAGCAGTGGTACAAGTTCGTTTAACGACAAGCTGCCAAGCTCGTATCAATTGGTACGAGTCGCTTCCAACCACTGTGCACTGTGTGCAACCACTGTGCGTACGGAGGGAGTGAGTGAGTGAGTGAGTGGGTGAGTGGGTGAGTGAGGGACAGTGAGTGCGTGCGTGGGTGGGTGGGTGGGTGTCAGCTCCTTTTTCTAAGGAACTCTGTCACGCACTCAATTTATACATATATAGATCTAATTTGTACAGGGAAGCAGGGGGGCAGAGAGGACGTGCAAGGCTCTGCCCTCTTTGCACTAGTCCTAGGAAGCGGGAGCTGATCACTCCTGTGTACCTGCAAACTTTTAATCTCTCTCTCTCTCCCTCCCTCTCCCTCCCTCTCTCTCTCTCTCTTGTTTTAACTGTTGAGCAAGGTGTGACTCTCATCTCCGTGTAAAGTGCTACTGCAGTAAAGGGGTAGCGCGTTTACCCTTCGCCTTGTTGTTCCTGCGAGTCAAGGTCTAATGTAATCAGTAACTAGCTCCCGGGAATGTCCAAACTGATATAGCTCTTGCGAGAGTGGATTTGGAGCACCGCCCTTTGGTCTTTCTAAAAGGTCAACTTTGCCGCGCTATTCTTTTACGCATATTGTCTTCCAATTCTCGCCGCACCAATTTTCTTCCGCTACTGCACCGCCTTTGACCCAAACAAGCACTTTACATAACTGATTGCCTACAACCTTTGGTCATTTACCTCCGCTTTCACCCACATCGTGCCGCCTACTACATTGGCAGCACCATCCTGGCCTTGTTTGACCGCGCCCGCAAATTTCGACAACTTCTCAGCGGCATCACCGCCTACTACGAACCTGCGCTATGACTTTGGCATCGTACTCGCACTTACTACCACCATGCCGTCATCCCTTTGGAGTTTTGCCCTGATACGATCACCGCCCGCAGCAAGGAGATCTCCTATACCAACAACACCACCACCCACAACTCAACCATCCTTGGATCAGCCCTCTTCTTCGGCGACATGGTCTTCAACGCCCTCAATACACACTCCCCACCACTCGAACTGGACCCATTGGGGCGACTCGCCTTCATCGCCACCGACGTCGACAGGAACGCCATCATTGTCAAGAATGTCTTCTTGATTTCCACACCAAAGAGAAGTTCTACACTTCTCAGACTCTACGTAGTCATGCTGCCTCCCCGGATATCCTCTACCTACTTTGGTCACAACATTTTCACATTGATGAACCCTGGCGATCGCGTGCTTCCTCCCAGTTGAAACTTGGTTCCTCCGACTCACGCTGCATTACGGCTACTACTACTCTCTCATGATTTCCTTCGAGACACGCGACAAATTCTTCGTCAATTCCTTCAACACAACTCTCACCGTTTTCCACCTCTTCAAGTACTATCTTCACCAAACGTCGAGATCAAGGCCCACACCCTTGAGCACTACATCTTCAACTTCAGACGATTTCTTCGCAGTTGGGAACCCACTATGACTCCGCAGTGTTCATGTCATATCATTCGCCCTGACATTCCACGACACCCTGACTCTGGCCACGTCATTGGATTTGCTTCCGACCTCTTTCCGGCACTTCTGATTTCCTCTGCAAGTCTTCAGGATGCAGTTTGGCCTCAGGAGCGACACTTGCTCAAACATTCCATCACGCAGCGGGAGCGATGGTTCGGCTCCTGGTAACATTTTTTTACCACCTGTGCCTCTCCTTCCGGCAAAATTGCTTTCTGGTCTTTCTTTTTTCCTATCCCACTTCCTTCCTAGGTCAACTTCTCTCTTCTCACTCACTCACCACATTTTTTGGCGAGTTATGCATTACCTGTACCGCAGCTGCTTGACCTCCTCGAATTCCCCGTCGGTGCTCCCTTCCTTCTGGACGTACGCATCACTATCGTCATGGGGACTGCTCCGGAGGTCTCATTGGACGAGATTTCGAACGATCGATCCAACCCTTCGATGGAGACGGCACCTACCAGGAACACAAAAAGCCCATCTTGATGGTAATCGTCCTCATTCTGATCTTCCCCCTGGTCCGCACGATCTCTCGGCACAGTCCGATTCCAACGATGAGGTCCCCGCCACCAATGATTCAACCTCCTTCACACCACTTCCTCGTGTGCCTAATCGCTACAATGAGGATTGGCAACGCTGGCATCACTATTGGAACTCACATCCCTGGGAAGAGTGGGTTTGTCGCTCCCTTAGCGAACAACGTCATTGGTTCTATCGTAGTTGGTCCCATCTTCAAACCGTTCCTGACACTGATACTATGCTGGACTACTACCGACATACCTCCAACCACTATGTCGATCTGCATCCAGACTTCTGGGGCAAACCCCGGTACTACCGGGTTTGGACTACTCACGGTTGGCAATTTGTTCTTACAGCCATGGCCACTGAACCCATTTGGCAACTTTGCGACTCCTTCGAGGCAGCAACCGCCACTCAACAAGCTGTTCTTGACAGCCTTCCTCGCGGGACCAAACGCCAGGCTGTTGAAGCCCTTGAAAGTCAGCATTTGGATCGTCTTGTTGACTCACTTGTTCAGAGACTCTTGGACTTCGACATTTCAGGGAATCCGGCTCTTCACGGACTGACACCTATGGATCAACAACATGTCATTGGCTCTTTGATTCATCAACTCGCGCGATCTCCGCAGAAGGTCGCCACCCTGCCGGATGTTGAAGTTGAAGTTGTAGTTGTGTAGGTGAGTATTGTGAGGGTCCTCACCCGTATCTCAGCACCTGCATCCCCTGTATCCCAACACTTGTATCTCAATATCACCTATATCCCAACACTTGTATCTCGACATCTGTATCACCTGCATCCCAACACCTGCATCTCAACACTTGTGCGTCTCAAAGGGCAGACTGCAGGCATTGTTGATAAGTTGGACCTCCTTCAAGACGTACAACTTCCAGTGGGTCGAAAGAACGTAGTTAAGACATAGATGGTACAGTATATGCAAAGTACAATGCGCAACAAACTGATAGAGAGGAAACCAATTCAATCAGGCACGGTACGGGGCAGTAGTCTATACCAGGTACCAGAATGTGATACAATGTACAGTACAATAGCATATGCAAGAATGCGATGCAATGCAGTGGATGAAAAAGACAGATGACAAATTGCAGGCACTGTTAAATACAAGTGGGTTCCTCTTGAACATGTACAAGTTCAACGCAGTCGAATTATGCTTGTGAAATTGTATAACCGCATGTATACACGTCAGTCACGCGCTTTCACTGACAAAACCGCGTGGCCAGCTGTTTAGTTTGGGCATGCAGTGTTTTTTGGATAGTTGTTTGAGCCTCAAGTTTCAATGCAAGCCGCCCTGTGCAGTTCGATGATGGTATTAGCATTGGCCGCGTGCACTTTCGGCCCTTCGTCCACGTCTTTCTCGAGGCCAAACATTCAGGGACTATTCAGAGTCGTGCATGTCACTTTCTCGGCAGAAAAACCTTGCAAACTCGATAGTGCGTTGAGCCTTATTTTTTCTTTTTGAAGTTCACCTCGTATCCAGCTTTCAACCAACCCCGGACTTGGTGAGATCATTTTCTTGAATTTAAAAGAAACAACATTTTCTTGAATTTAAAAGACAACAACAATTTTTTTGGAGAGTGAGCTGACTTGTGGCTTCGCATGTCCTTCCCGGGCCTCTATCCTTGTCTCCTGAAATTGGCTGTAACTAATGTAGCTTTGTAACTTGGTCACCAACGCAGGAAGGCATAAATGCGTCAAAAAAGACTTTCAACCAAGAACTGGTGCAGACGATCCAAGACGGTTATTGCCTGGCCTCGTTGGCAGGTGGTTGCAAAGACTTTCGAAGTCGTCATTTTCACAGCTTCACAGCAATTATATGCAGACCAGGCGCAACTTGTGGGAATGATCTGCGTCCACAAGCAGAATGGTCTTGCTGAAAGCTGGACCTAGACTGTGTTGTGCTGTTGTGTTTGCCACAAGGTCATCGATGCGCTGGATCCAGCCCGAACTCTCATTTCGCACCGGCTGTACCGACAGCACTGCACGGACAGCCCAATGCCATTCAATGCCTGCAAAAGATGCTGTCAAATTTGTGCGGCCTTTTGATGTGGCTCTGGAATGGCACTCGCACTCCGCGCAGTGAGTTTCAATCACATTGGTGTCAACTGTCAACGTCACTCTTTTTTGCCATTCAACAGCGTGGCTGTCACGTAGATGCTGGCCTTCCAATGCATTTTGAATGGAGGAGTTTCAGGGCGCATACTTCAAAGAGCTCAGTTTGTTGGGAAGACCGCTGTGCAAGGCAGGTTTCATTCAGCTGCATTTTGCCTTGACACATCTTGAAGGGGTCACAAATATGACACGACGATAGCTGCTTTGTGACCTTTTTGCTCATGGCCTTTTGACAGTGTGTTCTTGTGGACAACTCACCCATCTCCGTGGCTTGCAATGCCCAGAATGGTGCCCAAGCCTTGGCACGTTGACTTTGCATCCAGCTTCCACGGACATAGCTTCCCATGGTTCAAGGTTCTTATTCGAAGTTGGTATGGAGACTTGCGGGACCAGGACTTAGACGATTGAAACATTGAGCCTTGCATTTGATTTCAACTTGTAGCAACATGTGAATGAGGATGAAGGGTCAGGGCCGACAAGGTCGTCCAGTAACCCTCTTGGTCTCCAAGTCTCCACCCATTTTGGTTGAGAGTGGGATTCTTGGGCAAGAATGTCTTGCGGCCTGGCAACATGAGCCTATTTTGCATGCCATGGCAGGAGCTATTGGCGCTTCTAGAGGTTTTGGAGGAGTGATTGCCAGCATCAGAGGGTGTTGGTGATTCCTTTACAAGCTACAGGTTTTGGTTAAAAGCTTGAACTTGTTGCCCAGCCTGTATTTATCAGTTGACTGAAGCACTAAGGCAAAGAATGTTCCAGCAAAGCAAAAATGCACTGCAATGACATGGAAGACTGAGATGGTTCACAACTCCAGTTGCTTGTTCACCAAAGACAGCAGGCCGAATGCACAACAATTTCTATATATATATATATATCCGACTGTTTGTCACACTTATATACAGGACAGTTTTGTGAGACACTCTTGCTTGACACTCTCAGAGTCACATTTGTGCGACACCCTTGTATGACGCTCTTGTGGAGCACTCTTGTGCGACGCTCACTTGGTGCTTTCTCATGCCTCATGCGAGGAAGAGGTCACAGTGGTGGTAGGGGGACTGCTCTCGCTGTGGCTGGCTTTTTTTGCAGCAAAATCTCCTTTCTTGCGACACCCGACTCATCACAAAACCACAAGCAAATCGCAAGAACCACGTCATACTACACGGCACCACGCTTGGCACAAGCAGTCCGCGTAATAGAATGCCTTGCCATGTTTCTCTTGATTTGCGGCGTTTAGTTTTGGTTGTTTTGTTTGGTTGGCCTAAGGCCCCCTAGGCTTAGTTTTTGTTTGGGGCCTCGTTACCAATGTGATCAGAGGACATGCGAAGATACGATGAGCGCATTCCAGGCTTTGATAGGCCATGTTACCAACGACGGATTTCTTGGCTGCCCGGGCAGAATCCATGGATGCAGTTCATAGCTCTTGATGCCCACTGCTTGACAGGTACTTGTCCCAGCGATATGGCTTGACGGGTTTCTTTCAGGACCGATGGGACAGCTGCGCAAGCCTGCAAACCAAACAATGACATTTTCTTGTGATGTTGTGGAGGCACTTCACGATTTCATGCCCAACGAACCTGAGTGACCTTGAACTCAATGGGCAGATGTACAGAAAAGCATTGGAGTTTTTGTGCTTCAGTGTTTTGCCGTAACACTAGGGACTACTGTTGCTGACAAGCAGCGTGACATACAGTGACAGCAGACATGCCTCATCACTTGGTGGGGTTGTTGCGCGGCAGCGTGCCTTGAGAATGGGGGGTCCATCACAAGCTGAACATGTTGCAGCCGTGCGCATAACGTTTGGGGTTGTTCCCACTGTGCTTTTGGCGTTGCTGGTATGAGCTTTCCTCAGTTTTTTTGAGCTTCTGAGAAGCACTGACTTTCCGAAGTATGGCAACTTTGGAAGGTCTGAATTGGGGGCTTTGGGTGCCGAGCTGTGGATTGACAGCTTGGAATTTGCATATTCGGAAACGTTCAGGCTTATAGCTCGTGACAGCTCCGATACGGGTTAAAAAGTCAAAGCCATGCGGCGATGTTATTGTTGCATTGTACGCTGTGTGCAGTTTGAATTTGTCATGCCCAAGTTGTCCGGATACAGATGGTTTGAGACAATGCCATGGTGTTGAGAATGCGTGCAGAAGATTTGCAGTACTCAAGGGTCGTGGCCGCTGACAGATTTGAAGCCGTCCGATCCCTAAGGAAATTTGGTCCATGTTCAACTTTTGACCTTTGGTGGATCGCTTTATCCACATGGAAGGGACTGATTCAGATCGAGGCATTGGCCAAATGGGGCAAACAGCCTGTATCGAGTCCATGTGCCAAGCTATTCTCTTAGGGAGAGTGCGCAACTTCTATGAGAGTTGGCATACGATTTGCTTGATGTGGTCTTCTAAGTTCTGGCAGAATTGAAATGAATTGACTTCTTTCAGGCCAAGACAGGTGCTGGTGACACTGAGACATCAGGAGACCCCCAGTTGAAAAGCCAAGACGAGAAGGCAAATCGCCTTCTTCCAGATGTCTCACGAGAACACCACATGTCTACTGTTTTGTGCCAGGCTTTGCCTCGGTTGCTTGGTGACTCCGCAAGGAGTGTGGGCTCCTCACTGAAGCCAAAGTTTTGGGGATCGGGTAAAGATCGATAGATTCTGAGGTGGACAAAACTGTTGGAAAAGAAGCGGCGAAGGACGACTATGACATGATGACAACTTCTGGGGAAGGAAATTGCTGCAATTCAATTGTATATATACTTGGCCGCAGGATGGTGAAGAACACAACGAGAGCGCCGAGGGCGCAATGGAAGATCGAGTCATTGGCCAGGCATAAAGATTGCGATGTCACCGAGTGAGGGAAAGTACTTCATGTCGCATCCAGAGAACTTTTTTAAGGCTAAGTTGCCCGCTGTTAGGTAGAGTCAGCTACGTCAGTTGGAGGGTCAAAAGAAGACCAGGATGAAGGCCTTAGAGCGACGGTTTGAAGTTGCACAGTTGTTTTTCATAAACTACAAATGTCACGATCAAAAGTGATCTTATCTTGCTTCAGATTTGATTGAATTGATGATGGGAGACTTCTTTTGGCCTCTTTGGCAGTCCAGGCCACACAAGCAAGGCTTTGCGAAAATTAGAGAGGCAGGAGCTGAAAGCAGAGACTTTCCTCAAGTTATGCAGTCTGGGTTTTGTTTCTTTCTTTTTGCAGGGCAGAGGCAAGAAAGCAGGTTCTCCCATTCCTGCTGAGATGCTGGCTTGTTTTATATAGATCGGTGAATTGTCAGCATTGACGCGTGCTTCAAGTCACAAGCGTAGGAGCCGTAGGAGCTAGGTTCTGCAAGTTTATGGATTTCAATTGGCTTCGTAAATCACGCCAGGCTGTCCAACATTGTCCAACTATATAAGCTGATTCAACTTTCAACCGCATCGGACACAAAAGCTAAGCTGCAAGATTGTTCTTGCTACAATGAGTTGTGTGCCACTTGTGGATGCTTAACAATCCTGGTAAGAACAAGCAGGCTGCTGTTGAATGGTCACACACACACATATATATATATATAAATATCGATCCTTTCTGATCTACAGTAGCCAAAATGATTGAATTGAATGGCAAGGCAGAATGGCTTTCAAACCGTTAAGTCCAAGAAGACATGGTTCTGGAGGCAAGATGAAAGGGGATCAAGAAGGGAGGGCACCAAAAGCAAGTTTCTGATGGTGTTATACCAAGGTCTTACTATCCTCTCCACGCGGCGGTCAAGAAGAAGGACATCGAGACCGTGCGTCTTTTGCTGACCGCAGGCTGGGACACATCTCTCGAAATAACACATCCAGCGTTGTTTCTAGCTTATATTGTTTCTAATAGCAAACATTGTTACTACTAGTAAGGCACTTAAGGCACTTGTTACCCAAAGGTGCAGACCCACAGAAATTGAACAACAAGTCAGAGACGCCTTGGCCTCAATGTTCTATTCGCGATTCTTGCTGCCCCTACATTTCAGCTGTCCGATTCTGAAGTCGTCAATCCTTGATATTGTGATGATGTTTGTGTGTGAAGTTGCTCGGAATTGCTCGTGCGAGCTAGGTTCTTGTAATTTTCGACTGCCAGAGGGTACTAGGGTAGCTAGGGTAGCCTTAAGGCCACAGCAGCTGGCCGAGAGTGTGCTCCTCAATGAAGTGTCATTGTCTTTACACACTCTTGATTTGTCACGCGGACCTCAATGGAGGTGGATCAAGACAGGCATGCTTTGCTAAGGTGTGTGGGTGTGTGGGGCCACCAAGTTTGGTGAGGGAGGCCCTCCCTTGTTTTAGCCATACTTGTTGCAGGCCCCAAGACTGAACGCAGACTGCAACCACTTCAATCTTCAAGCACTTCGGAACAGCAGAGCTACACTCAATATTGAAAAGATGTGAAAAATATGTTTGAAATAAATATATATAAATCGAGAGATATTTCCTTTACAACCAATGTCTCCACACGTACCGTTCTCAGAAATAACTCTAGTCTTAATTCTTTGCAACTCTTCTGCGCATATCGAAGTATTAGCTCGCTCAGACGGCTCGCTCAGACGGCTCGCATAACTGTTCTTAACAAGCTCGCTCAGAAGGGTTTTGGAAAGAATCCTGTATCAAGGCAAAGCCTGTTCACTGACCCCTTCCAACGAATTAACTCGGGCTGGTGTTATCGGCTAGATAGGCTTGGGACACCAGTGTCACTCTCTAGAGAACTGTTCAGGTAACCTTTCGGTAATTCACTTCTTTATTTTTAAACTATTCAGTTTCGTGACGACCGTCTGCCATTTTGGCGAAAAGGGTGGCACGTTCGCCAGGAAATTCACTCGCTTTTCAGGTCAACGGGCCTGGGGTTTCCTTCGATCGTGCCATGGCATCAAGCAGCTCTGTTCAGAGCGAGATCCCTTCGAAGGCGGCTCCAGCCGTGGTCAAGCCGAAAGCAAAGCCTCCTCCTGCCGCTCTTCAAAGACAGGCACTTAACGCTTCGGCTCGATGGGACGATTCCAGCTCTGTGAGTTCATGGTGTCGTTTGGATGAGGATGCTCATGGTCTTGGTGCTCGCTCTATGCCTCAAGTGCCTGAGGATCAACAGGTTCTTCAACCTCCCGGCTCTGAAGCCACACAAGCTGCTCAGCCCAATGTCGTGCCTCCACCACCACCTCCTGGTGGACCTTCTTCAAGTTTCCCACCGGCGACCAATGCGGCTCCTGCAGTGCAAGCGGCTCAGAGCTTACTGGGTCATGCAAATGAAGTTCCTGCCTCGAGGCGCCTTCGTCGCCAACAAGAACAAGCGAGGCAGACGAGCTTTCAGGTGGGGCCAAATGGCTCCAGGAGACCTAGCCCACAATCCGCTCAATACACAGCTCCCTGGCCACCTTTCTCAAGTTGGCTCCAACGAAGGGGAGCGTTCAGTCTTGATCATGGACAATCGTGACAATCGTATTCAGAGTCCATTCCAAGGCTGGCTGATCAATGAGGTGCTCACCAACGCGTTGTCCTATGTGAACATCAAGTCTGACAGAGCCCTGGTGAGATCTCCTTCGAGTGGTTACCACTTCAGCCTTTTCATGGTGCGCACGCTGGACTCAGTGAAGGTCACGATCTGTGGCTCTGCGACATGCTATTCAAGCGTGCCCTGTGCAAAGTGGGATGCCCTGTCGGGTGAAGTGCTATCGCACGCGGCATTTCAACCGTTCAGATGGCCGCCAATGACTGAGTCGAGCCCGACCTGGGTCGATGTGAAGGTGAAGCTCGAAGGACAGCTCCTCGTCCACCTCGAGCTAAGGGGCTATCGCTCAGACAAAGATATGGCGGTTCAGCTGTGGCACATCGCCGACGCCATACACACGATTCTCAATGAGACGGTGTTCATCCCATCGATCGTGGTCACGGTCTTCCAAGGCTGGAGAGTGATAGCATGTTCATGGGAGGTTGGCGGTCGCCTATATGTGTGCTCTGAAGGAGGGATCGTTGTGGCATTAGACTTTCCTCTATGCCACTTCGAATGCCGCTTCGTGGCCACGTCGTCGCCTGACTCGTTCGGAGCCGACGCAGATAGATTGGAATTCCGATTTCTCCCAGCTGCCGATCGGCTTGACGTCAGTGCAAGTCTGGCCTGCGTACCACCATCGTGGCTTGTGTTCAGCAGGGTTTCAGGACCTACTTTTTGATCAGAAGCGCCTCTTGGGGACGTGAGCATGGCGCCAGGGTCGAGAGTCCTGATCAAGCCCTACAATTTGCGCAGCTCGCCGCAATCCATGCTCACTGGACGGCGAAGACCGAGGCCACCACGGAGGAGGACTCTGGCCCGCGGGTGTCAGCGATCGCTGTCGAGTCCAATGCCCTCAACTTGCACCTCGTCTGCGAGTCTCCTTTCTTCAAGAAGGACAGGGTGATCGTGAAGGCTGAAGCTCTCGCTCTGCAATCGCACGATCCGTTGGATGAGGTCGTCGCAAGTATCGTACCACCACTTGTGGACGGTCCGACAGTGCGGCCTTTGGATGGTGCTCCCAAGCTGGCTCCAGCCCTAGCTGCTCCTCAGGCTCCGTCAGAATTCTCGGCGGGTCCAGTGCCGGTCAGCAGCGTGGCTCCATCGATTACAGCTCCAGGGCAATCGCCCACGCCGAGCTCTTGGACTGGGGGTTCTTTGGCTCCATTGAGGAGGACGCTGGATCAGCGCAGGGCCGACAGCCTTGATCATTCGGCCATGACACCTCAGGCGTTTGTCGATGCTGCCCGCCGGTTTGGAGGTCATCCCCCTCAGAGGTCT